CTACACATCTGCAGATGAAGAATGCTACAAAAAAAAAGTTTTCTCCCATTTTCTTTTAGTACATACGTACGGAATGAAGAAACCACCAAACAGAACAAGCGATATAACTATAAATATTATGGGACCAAAACGTTTTATTAAACTATGCCGAAAACTATTCCGTGTACCTTATACTCGTTCAGCGATTTCATATAATCTGCAATAAACGCAGTTTTGTGCTTAAGAAAAATACAAACAATGTTTTCTTCAAATTTTCGTCTACTAATATTGAGTGCCGTATTGTTACCAATTATACGTGGAAGAGTATCCAAAACTGTTATATCAGCATTGCTGTCATATAAAACCGTTATTGATCTGAAATAACTGGAGCTAATAACATTTCCAATAATAACATTTTTTGAGAGAATATCAGAAGCTTTATTGACATAATTTTTTATTTGTAACGTTGTTCTATTAAAATTCATGTTCTGGTTAATTTCAAAATGGACAGACTGAGCCATCAATAATTGTGATATTAGTGCGAGTGTAACTGCATCATCCGAAAATAAAACTGATGGTCCAATTGTGCAATTTTTTTTCCCAAATTTCACTCTTTCTCTTTTGGATAGATAATCAATATTTAATTTATTGCTATGCAAATCGCGAATCGATGATAAAATGTCAACCAGAACAAGTTGTACTTCGAAGTAGTATAGCCGTTCAATGAGCTTTTTTAATGGCGTTAATTCCTGAAATACGAAATTATTGAATATTTCTATGTCGTTCATCATTTCATCAAAATGCTCTTATGTTTCGTTTAGAACTTTTGATATAACGTGATTCTCATCGAACACTATCATCGTCGACACATCATTTTGAAAATAATTATTGAATTGTTTTAGTTGTCCAAATAACTGTAACATCGATGTACCAAGGAATAATATAAGAATAATTGAACGCTTAATACTATTTATTACTTAATCGAGAAAAGTAATATTTTTAGTCTTTTTAGTTGCAAAAAATGCTCACACTAATAATAAGACATTGCACCGTTTACAACTGTAGAGGTCAATTTTACTTTTGTCTCATATAAAGTGCAGATAACGTGAATTTATCAAAAAGCACTTAAGATAAATCAAACCACAAACTTTATGGATGTTGAAAACAAAAGTGTAAGGACAATAAATTTGTACGAAGAGGAAAGAAAGTTAAAAACGTTATACACAGACCTGGCTCAGTTATTAGTGTGGACACAGTTCATTGAACGTGCTACGATTTGTGAAGATTATAATCTGATATTTCATGAATGTCACTGATCATACTACCGTTAGTATTCTAATAGTATGACAACTATAAATTTTTCTTAATAAACAAAAAGGGATTTTAACAGTTCATCACATCTGCAAGTATATCCGTTATTTTATCATTCACTGTCAAGAACCAAACATGTGCGTTATCAGGTATCAAATGCGAACTGCGGACTGTGTTCGGATGAATGTACCGATGTACTGTGCGCTGATTGCTTCACTCAAACTCGTTACGAAATTTTTACCACTTGTTTAACAAAACTCAATGATGCAACAACAAGTTTTCCTCAAATCGAAGACGTTTCATGAAGATTTGCATCTGTTTTACAACAATTTACCTTAATTTTTCATCCATCAGGTGAATTCAATCCGACAGTTCATCAGCAAGATTCAATAGCGCAGCAATATGTGCCATATTGCGAGGATATGCCAACTGATCCTAATGAAGAAAAGTTATTTAAAGATGTGAACGATATAGGTTATACATTAATAGCGTTATTTGCAAACGGAGATGGCAATTATATGTATAATGCAGTGGCCACTCTAGCATCAGAATCACAATCGTTTGCAGTCGAATTACGTGTACGTACCATCATCGAGTTAACTCTGAATACAGCTTATTATATGCAAGAATATGCTTGGTACATGGGGATCTTAATCAATATATATTATCATATTTAACAAAAGACAAAACATATGCCGAGCCCTGAGATCTTTTTGATTTATGCAATGTGCTAAGCTGTAACATAAAGTCGATTTTTCGAATAGTTGATACAATACTCATCACAATAAACCACGATAAAATTGATATGAGCAGAACTTTTAAACCACGTACACCAACCTCTCGAACCAATACAATTTATCTGCTTTAGAGTCGATCGGAAATACCTACCATATGGTTTTCTTACAAAATTTCTTATTGGATTCCTGACCATTTAGCTGCTTTGGTAAAGGTATTAAAAGAAACGGTATAATATATATGATTCATGCACTCAGTTAATCTGAACATTTCTATGTATAGCATCTTTTTATCGTTTAGCGTGTTTCAACCGCATCGGTCATTTCATTTACGAAAAAGGTGTGTCGGAAAATCATCACTAATAATTTTTTTCCAAATTTTAATCCACAGGGTTTCGCCTTTCGTGCAGACGACAATTCTGAGTACGACAAAGACACCAAGCGAGTTAGGCGATACAGCGCCACAAGCTGAAAACACAGCACCGACGGATTTCTTAACAACAACTGCAAAACTGGCCGAAGCTGTTCTTACATTCAAAGATAAATCGTCGAAAGTAGTATTTATGAGTTTGAGCGGACAGAAAGATCCAGATTTGTAGTACTCATCTAAAGTTTCCCACTTGGCGTCTGAAGAACCATCGTAGCTAGTAGTTTCCAATTTTGTGTGACCATAGCTCTCACCGAATGTTGATCATCTAACAAGTTTGAGCCACTTTGACTGAATGCTTTGGCAGATATAAGCATTTCATTTCTTCCCCGTAAAATGCTAATAATTCTCGATCCAATAGAAACAAAAATTTTTTCGTTAATAAAACTTTTTTACCAAGATACAGCCATGGCTCTCCTCTAGAACTGATCTGAATTTTAACTATTAGAAATGCATCTATTTTACGATCAACAGTCTTTTGAAATTCCAGGTCCCAAAGGAATTACGACATTGACGTTACTTTCACTTCAAAATTGAATCAAATAATCTATAGTGTCTCTAGATTATCTATTTAAAGTATGAGGGCCAACTGCGAAAATCTACCGAGAATGTGCAAATCGTAATGCAAAGATAGGTCGGGACATGAGCTTGAGAAACTATCTACTAACGGTTCCAAAATACAAGACTGGTGGTTGTTTTTTTATAACTCAAAAGAAATAACAGAAAGAGACTTGCGGCTTACACCATTCTGTAGCCAAGGCCTTAAGCCATGTTTCCATAAAGTAAAACGAATTTGCGGAAAACTTCAAAGACCGGTTTTTCAAGAGATTTGCAGAAAACCAGTTCGGTTCGCTGAAACTTGGCATAGAAACTAGCAGTTTTTCCATAGATACATAGTCTGAAGTGTCCTCTATAAAGCTGGATTCAAGCAGCATCTTGGAAATCCGTGGTTCGGGAGCTATGGACGCTTTTCCTGAAGCCCCACCACTCCTCTGCCGTTAGGTTTGGGACTGTCAGGAATGAATGAAAATATAGATTATATAGATAGCTGAATCTCGTGGCAATATAAGTTTCCAGAACAAAATGCAAGAACCGAGTGAAAACCTATCCTAAGTGAAATAACCTACTTTAAATTATTTTCATGCAATTATTTTCGACTCCAAAGCAGATAAATTGTATTGGTTCGAGAGGTTGGTGTACGTGGTTTAAAAGTTCTGTTCATATCAATTTTATCGTGGTTTATTGTTGTGAAATTTTCCCCAAATTCGTTTTACTTTATGGAAACATGGCTTCAGCTCTTGGCTACCGACCGCAAGTCTCTTTCTGTTATTTCTTTTGAGTTATTCAAAAAACAACCACCAGCCCTGTATTTTGGCAAATCTCGACCTTGCTATCTGCCCAAGCCGATATCTTGTTCATGTTATGAACTTGATTGTTTTTAGAGTGATTTATACAGAACTCCTAAGGAAAAGTAAAAAATAATCAAAGAACGCACAAGAGATATATGAAAAAGCAAAGAAACTGGTGCTACGACACAAATGTTCACGATAGATTTGTAGCGACCCTTTTTAGTTCGTAGTATTCATTGAAGTCATAGCCACCAAAATCTTTCTTGCCACCGGCGTGACTGTATCTTCCGAATGGTAACAGATTAATAGCTGCATCATACTCATTAATCCAAACAGTACGGGCTTGTAAAGATGAAACAAGATAATTTGCTTGCGTCTTCTCTTTCGTTATCATACCAGCAGCCAAACCCCATTTTGTATTGTTCGCTCGTGTAATTACCTCATCGTAATCATGATATTTCAATACACTCATTATCGGTCCTATCATCTAAAAGAAAGAATTTTTCAACTATAAAATTTATTTAATAATACTAAACAAACCTCATCACTGGCTATGTCCATATCGTCAGTCACATTACTAAATATCGTCGGTTGAACAAAAAAGCCGTTTGTTCCGAAACGTTCTCCACCGCACTCCAGTTTTGCTCCTTGTTTTTTACCAGATTCGATAAATTGTATAATTTTTTTAAGCTTTTCGTCGTTAATTTGAGGCCCTTGTGCAGTTTCTGGATCAAACGGATCACCCACCACGCATTGAGTAACTAATTCAACACATTTAATAACGAATCGATCATAGATTTTTTCATGAACAAATATTCTTGATCCAGCAAAACAACTTTGAGCAGAATCTGCGAATATTGCACGATAGGTTAATGCTACAGCAGAGTCAACTAAAAAGAATAATAGAATACAGATCAAGAAATTTATTAGTTTCGATTACTGACGATCAGCATCTTCACAAATAATTAATGGACATTTTTCAAATAATTCTAATGACAAACGTTTAAAATTTGATTTTATAGCTAATTCTTGAACTCTTCTACCAACCTGTAATTGAAAAGAGTTATAAACAGGTAAGAAGGATATATAAATCAGCAACTATATACATCGAATGAGCCAGTAAAAGTAACTTTATCGATTCCTTTATGAGCAACAATGAATTGACCGCATCCAGAACCATCACTTGGTAAAACATTTACAACACCAGGAGGAAAACCAGCCTGGAACAAGGAAGATCAGAAAATTTTGGAAAACAGCTCTTTTGCCATTATCATACTTCATCCAGTAAACTTGCACAATACAAAGCCATTAATGGAGTCTCTTCGGCTGGTTTTAAAATAATTGTGTTTCCTAATAATTCAAGAAAGTCATGAACACCCCTTAATACACTCATGTTCGAAACTTGCCACAAGCTAAAGCTGGACCAAGTTTCCATGCCAACATCATTATAGGATAACTGTATGATATAATTTGTCCAAAAACACCTATCGGTGCATAAGAGTGCAAAAATGAATCAGTTTTTTAAGTTGTTGTAAACGAACCGATAAATAATCAAGATCACGTCTCAGATATTCGGCAAATTTTCTCATTAGATTAGCACTAAAACAACCACAAACACTTTATTTAAGAAAGAAGAGCCTTTGACCTCTTACCGTACGACTGCCTCCATTTTTCTCCACTCAGAATCATTACGAAATGCATTACGAGCAGCTTTAACAGCTTTATCAACATCGGCCTACAAGAAAAAAAGTTTCTTAGACTTTCTCTCAAAGTTAGTTGGATAACTTTCTACTTTTGTTGATTCTTCAACTTGACAAATTTCCTCACCAGTCCTTGGATCACATACTGGAAATG